ACTTTCAAACCCACTCCACATCCTGAACACTTTACAGTCTTTTTAAGCATGCCTTTCTGACACCAATTGTCCCTATACTCGATAATTGCTAAACTCGAGCCCTGTGCTACGAGAAAAAAAATTCTAAGCTCTACTACAAAAATTTGCGTGTTCAATGTACGCGCACCTCCCCCATGTGGTGGCAAAAGAAAAAAAAACAACAAAAATTTCAAACACACACACCCGCACTAACTAATAAATACCTGGTGACTGGCCCCCGAAAAAGCTGTACCATAAAATAAGTGTTACGAAGATTTCAACCGCTGCCTTATAATTATAAAGACAAGCTCAAAACATGCAAAAACACCTATCTGTGCAGTCGATCCGGAGCGCTCAAAAAACACGTCCATCCACCTTGACAGCCCGAAGCTCTATCAAGCCGTCAGGAGGAGGAAGGAAGGATGCTATGAGCGTCCCCTTTATAACGGGGTGGTGACAAGTATGCCACCAGGCTCGACAAAAAAAAAAAACCTTTTTTCTTTTTTTATGTTGGCCTAATGCCTCTACTTCGATAAATTCTATCTTAATGGAAAAAAGGTAAATTTTCAGCTTAAGTTCTCTGCCATTTACGGCACACTGTCCATATTTTATTTTTCCAATATTTATTTTTGTCCTTTCTCTCTAATTTTCTGCCACCAATACTCTAACCGTCTCTTACTTATTTCAATCGCGGGTGTGTTCAGCTTTCCATTGTTGTCCCTAAAACCCAAGGCTTCCTGTAGGCTCGTGCCCAAACGTACACCTGGGTGGATATCTCCACATTCAATCAGAACATGCTCCGCCGTTTCCTTATCTTTCCCGCAGCATGTGCATTGTTCTTCTTCCTTACTGAATCTTGCTTTATAACTACGCGTTCTAAGGCAACCCGATCTCGCTTCAAACAGTAAAGCGCTTCCCCTTGAATTATCGTAAAATGCCTCCCTCCTTATTTCATTTTTGCCCTTTCGGTAGTTACTCAAAGCCGGTTTTTTCTCCATAGCTGCCATCCAGTAAATCCTCTCCGCCTCCCTGACTTTTCCCTTAACGCTCTTTGTTGACATATGGCTTACAATACCAGCCGTATACTTACTAGTGAGTCTTCTAGTTCTTTTTCTCCACTGTGTGTCCACGCTCTTCCTATACAAATAACGGAACACCTTCTCTGCCCATCTACTCTCCTTCATATTTCTTAGCCTTTCTTCGAACCTTATTTTGCTCTGCGCTTCCCTCGCCTCAAAACCTGCCCACCCCATATCGCCCTTTACAGCCTCGTTTGTCGTCCCGTGAGCACCCAACGCGAGGCGTCCCACAGTCCTTTGATTTACATCCATTCCCGATTGCACCTCTGCCCTCATGCACACCACTGAGTTCCCAAAAGTAAGCCCTGGAACCATTACACCCTTCCACAGACCTCGAAGCACCTCATACCTATTGTATCCCCACAACGCTCTGTGCTTCATTATTGCCGCATTCCTCTTTCCTTTTGCTGCCGAGGCTTTTTCCTGTACCTCCATGTATCTATCACTCTCATTTACCCATACTCCAAGGTACTTGTATTCACTTACCCTCGGTATTTCCTGGCCTTGTATGGACACCGTCTGATCACAGGGATCATTGAATACCATCAATCCACACTTCGTTACACTGAATCCTAGTCCAAAAGCTTCACCTTCCCTTCCGCATATATTCGCCAGCTGCTGTATATCATCTCGACTGTCCGCAAATAAGACGATATCGTCCGCATAAATAAACCTGGAAGCTTCTGCTCAATCATCATGCCGCCCTGTTTGTGTGACAGATTAAAACCAATGTTGCTACCTTCTAGCGCTTTTTCCATACTCACCATGTACAGCATGAATAACAGCGGGGACAAAGGACATCCCTGTCTCAGACCCCTGCTAACCTCAACGTTCTCTTTGCTACGCATTCTTTCCCACTCTATGCAAACTGTATTTTCTCGGTATATCTCCCTCAAAAGCTGTATACAGTCGTCGCCCATGCCCATTTCTTTCAATATATCCCACAAAATTTCCTGATTAACGTTGTCGTATGCCCCAGTGATGTCTAGAAAAGCCACGTACAAGGGCCTATTCTCTATTTCAGATATTTCTATACACTGAGTGAGAACAAACAGGTTATCGTCTAACCGCCTGTCGACTCGAAATCCGTTCTGAAGTTCTCCGAAATCCGTTCTGAAGTAAAACGTGGGACATGTGCGCCATCTGGCAGTTTTCTTCGAAAACAAAGCGCGTGGCTCTGAGACGGGTGTGCGCGCCTGTCTCAGAGGTGATAAGGTGTAGAACGCAAGGCGATGGGTAGGGGCCACTACCATCTCGTTTTAGCAAAGTGTTGGAAACATTCTCCTGTTCGTGCAAGCGTTGCTTGGTCAGCGCGGCGTGATAAGTGCTACGGTCCTTAAAATTACTTATGTATGCCTCGTGTAGTAAAAGATGCACATGCAGAATATAAATGTCTTGTTATGGTGCCCCAGACATGCGCAATGATAACTCTTTAATTGACAATTGCACAAGTTGAACGTTCAATCTTGAGCAACATTGGTGGGCGCTGCGGATGGGGTCGGCCGTTTTATGTACCCGATGCTGTTAAGAGTGGACAAACATACAAGTGTACAGACAGACAGACACAGCAAAATTGTTGCATCGAAGGTCCCCAAGAATGACTATCGTCTTTAGAAACCTTGTGTTTGAAATAATAAATCAGATGTGAGTTTAGTGCCGTGCATGATGAGTCTCGATCTATAGGTGTTCCGTGTTTTAGCGCTCGTAAAATCTGTCATTATACTGACGGAGGCACACTTATAATACACGTGCGTCGGCCGAGTCATACATCACGTGCACCGGCGTCAGAAGGACAGACGAGTGAAGGCTATAAAAAAATGGCAGTGGCTTAGCTCAGCTATGCCAGGATATACGCAGCGTTAGCGAAGGTTCAGCTGATTATTCTTAGCTTTCCAGATATCATGCTTACAGCTGTTCCGATGACACACGCGGTATACGTATTATGTGGGACATACATATTTATTTTGCCGGGCAACTACTTCGGGATCCGATGAGTTAAGCTTCTCCGCTCTGCTGCACCGTTGAGCAGCATTTGCACTCTCCTTCTCCATGGCTATACCACAGTGGCAAGCGCCAGTCAGAGGCGCTATCAAGCGGCTCCAGCGCAGTGTCAGATGGCGACTGCACAGGGAAGGCGCACGCGTCGGCGTTCATATGTCTACCAAGGCTATGACGGCACTCCTCTGGAAAGCGCACACCGGCGGTGGTGAGCCGCGCGCGGCCGCGGCCGAGTGCGAGGGAGGTGCCGGCTCCGGTGCGTGACACCACTGATCGTCTGCGCAGCGCATCGAATTACGCGCACACCGGCGGCGAGCCGCGCGCGGCGGCAGTGGAGTATCATTGCGCATGCGCAGACCAGTGCCACGCGAAATTGGCTCAGCGAAGCCAGTGTAGCTAACGCTACAAGAAATGCGCTGCGGCGGCAGTGCAACCATATGTTACGTGTTTCCACATGGCAAAGGCAGCCCTGTCGAGCTTCGGAAACTCTACGTCAACATACGGTTGGGGTGTGCCTCAGGTGTACAACTGTCTCGTCACTATCGGTTGTTCAAAGGGCGGGCCCCCTTCACCCATCAGCAAACCACTGCCGTCCGTGCAATTATGCCGTTTGAACCGTCTGGCTGGATTGCTTGGTTTCTTACGCGCGTGCGTGATGCGAGCGATCGAATAATTTTTACCACCCTTCTCTCACCCCTTCTTTCTGCCCCTTTAATTCCCATTCCCCCATTCCCTGCGCAGAGCTGTGGAGGTGCCCTCCATCGAGAGAGCCAGTAATGAAACTGCGCTTATTTCTTCATTTTGCCCTCTTTTCAAAGTCACTTCGAACCGTCTGGGAAGCCAGCTAACGTCAAGATCATTTTTTTGACAAGTTCCATCAGAGCAACGCTTTCGATAGCGATTCCGTCAGAACAGTAAGCTCAATGGCTCGTGTAGCGCAGGCGGCGATTTCGGCGTGGCCTCCAGCAGTCTCTAAGCTTTGCTCATGGCTGTATGTACAGAAGCTGGCCTTCACGCCGTCGTTCAGGAAGATGCCAACTGTTAGAAATACTTCTGATCAAAAGGCCAGGGGATTGAATCTCGGCCGTTACGGCTGCATTTAGACGGAAGCGATATGCTAGAGGCCCAGGTGCACGTCAGAGAATTCTCAGGTGGTAGACATTTCCGAAGTTTACCATTACGGCGACTCTCATTATAATGCCATGGTTTTGGAAAGTGAAACCATAACAATTATTATGGTAGGCTTGAAATGAAACAGCTTGACGAACTTGTATATTAATTACTCCTTACTCTGCGTCATGATTCGCGCAACCGAAATATGCGATATATATGTTACCATCGTGGAAAATATCTCACATCCGTGGCAGCTTAGTGAGTTAGGTGTCGCATTTCTAAGCTTTTAACGCAGATTTGATTCCCTGTAATACCGGCCACAATTGAATGAGAGCGAAATGTAAGAACGTTGTGGTTTGATTAAGGTGCGCGTAAAGAACCCCACCCAGATGGTTTAAATTGGAGTTCCGTCTAGTATGGTGCTTCGAAATGGTACCATGGTTCACACATGTGAGAACCCATCATACTAATACTAAAGTAGGGATTGTAAGATATATCATTACGTTCTTTTTACAGTGAAGGCGTTTGGATGCTTGTCGATATGAAATTAACATCATATTACTAGTATCGCTTCTCTTTCACGAACATACGAACGCTGAAGCGGTAACTTTCTTCACATACGAACCCATTAGGCATCGCTAAACGCAGGGAAGTGTCATCACTGATGCTGTCATTGCTGCCAGAAGAAATTTACTTATCGATGTCGACGGTAAGCGCGATCCTGTCATTGGCGATATAGTGTTTAAAGTACAGCCGATATGCTAACCTTTCTTCCCCCTTCTTTCGTCACAGCACCACCTTGACAGCGAGGCCTATTCTGCTATGCTGCATCTTCCTCGTGGTCGTGGCCGTGGTGAGCGCCACCAGTGTGTTGGTGACACTCTACGCGAAAGACAATCTACGCATCCGCTGCCTTCCGGGCCCCGTACAAGTCGAGGTCACCCCTTCGGCGTCGGCACTCGGCAACTTCAGCCAGTGGGCCGTCTCTACAGACGCCGCACCATGCACGCCAGTCACCAGGTAAGGGACTCCATCAAAGGGATCGCAGCCATACTTGCTGATATGTGGATTGTTTTAGTTGGTATGCCATATAATCGGAATGAGTGCGTGACATTTTAAGCAAATCTAAGAAGTGGAATCAGAAGTATAGGAATCGGCCGCAAGTGCCGTAGGGATTTATGTTGAAGTATACCATTCCGAAGTGCGAAGCGGCGTAATGCAAGGCTGATGTCGACCAAAACACATATGGACATACGGTTCGTGCGCTTGCTTCCAGGGTGTGTCTGCCGAATAACTAAAGTCAAAATAAGAATTTAATTTGCTTTGTATGATAGAGGGTTAAACAGACAATTTTCTTCATTTATATTCGGAGACGGGGTAGCTCGAATTTGCGGAACAGTAACATATTCGTAGAGATGTGGACGTCAAAATTCTTGACAAAACAAAAAACAGAAAAAATAAAGGCACGAGAACTTTTGAGGGGCCTGATGATGGGGGCGTGACCGATGTAATGAGAGAACCCATGTGCCTTATATTATATCTGACATGAAAAAAGACATCGTTGTAGATGGTTTGATCTATGGTATAGTTGTGGGTGTATTTTAGGGAAAAGTCTCTGTAATGATGAAAGAGAAATTGTCTGACCGAGCACAAAAATATGGGGCTTCAGATAGATAAGAAAATTTTCAGGCATATTATAGGATGCAGCTGGTGGTGGTCTCAAGACTGGCGTCGTTTTCTATATAGTCACCCGCAACCATTCAAGGATTACATTCTTAAAGTGTACTATGTAAAAAAAATTAACGAAAGGCAGGTTCAACATTTCCCCTTTGGGCAGTCATCTCTTTTAAGGCCCACCAATTTTACACGTGAAGAAATTACTTCGTTCTGCAATGGACCCAACTTCCATGATCATGTTAGGGATCAAGATGTGAAAAAGAATTTACTTCATTTTCTCCCATTTTTTTTTTTCCCAGACGCATATTCCAAAAAGGCGGCAAGACAGTGGACGCTGCCATCGCAACCCTGCTTTGTATGGGTGTGGTCATACCTCACTCTATGGGAATCGGTGGAGGCTTCATAGCGACCGTCTATTCACGGTAAGTGACGTATTTCAAAGAATCGTCCCCAACACACGCATACACGCGCACGCTTTCCACCGCCGCTTCCGCGGAGGATCGTTGGTTACGGCGCTCTGCTGCTGGCTAGAACAAACACGGTTTTTTCAGGTCCCAGAAAGAAGCCCAGGTGCTGGTTGCCCGAGAAGTGGCTCCTGCGGGAGCTTCGACGGACATGTATGTGAACAACAAAAAGGGAAGCTTATTTGGTAAGTCAGCACGGCCTGCTCTCGAAGCTTTCATCCATGCATTCACTAACAATCACGAAGATCGCAGACAGAATAAAAGGGCCAACAGGTGTAGACGGTATTCTATTTGAGATGAAAAAAAAAAAATATGAACTTTGGAAAGCCGCGTAATGCATAGCACAGATAGCTGTTGACCATCTAGAACAACGGATTAGGTGCGAAGTGACTAGAAACAAAGCTGAGGTCTACATAAAATTAAGTCTCGTGATGCAGTTGTACGCTCGTGGGCGTGAAATCGGCTAGCGCTTGACAGGGTAAATGGGCGATAGTTTCGAAAGATGCCTTCACCCGGCAGTGGATATAAGGCTGTTACAGACCTGTTACAATGGAGGTTTGCCGTGTGTCATAGGTAGAAAAGGATCATCATAAACTGGCACTCGCTCGATGACGACCCAAGCACTCGGTATACGGTCAACATGAAAAGCTGAAACGTGCAGTTCTTCATTGGTATCCCCCTCTTTATGTTCCCTTAATTTTTACTGGCCCAGAGCATCATTGAGTAGTGGGATGTGCCCAATATTTATGGCAAATGCGCCCTACAGGAAAGAGAGTAAGGACAGCACTGTATACTATAACTATTCCAGTATCCCGAAACAAAGTGACGTATGGGCTGCGAAACAGACAAGTGAGGGGGTAAAAGCTTATAGCAAAGCCAGGACCAGCTAGGTGAAAGCAGTATATGAAAGCGAAAGCAGTATATGGCTAGGCCCAACGAAAAACCGCTCACCATGAGAAATGATAAGGGCATCCAATGGCTGCGCCATCAGGTACGTCGTTTTTCAAGTCACACCCAAGTGCTCACACGTGTGCCATTGGCTGCATCGTCACTGACATCGTTCGTACTTTCGCCGTCATGCTTCTGAACCCGCGCACAGCAGTTTCAACTTAAAACTTCCACATGGGGAGGGTATGGATCGTATGACCACTTTTCAAGAGCGCTGACTGCTGATCTGCGAGAGAATTCTTATTCGCCGGGCCAATGGAGCACTCCGGGTACAACAACAGGCCCGGGAGGTGAAGTGCAAGCAGCAACTGTGCACCGAGCATCGGCAGCCTTTCGAGCCAAGCAAGCGAAAACGGCGAGCTGAGGGAGTGGCGTTGCAGGGAGAACAGCGTCAACGTGGAAATGGTGGAAACAAGTTCACTGATGCCCAAACCCGCTTTAGGAGGGAGTATCTTGAGGACAAATATTAGCGAAAAAAAAAACACTAACAAAAAGAGAGAGCAGCCCGTCCATGCTCTCTGTGTTCTTGTTCGTGTTCTTTATTGCGCAAATTCCCACCCACAATGCAATTCCAACTCGCCCAAGGCTCGTTTCTTCTGAGTTTCTTGAGAAGCACTTTCTTTTTGGCTTCAACGTGTCAAGTCTGCAACTGTGACCGCACGTTTCAGCTTCACTGGTTAACCATCTCTACGGACTGCTTGGGCGGCGATCTTGTTTCTTTTTTTGTTAGAGTGGTGGATGGACAAAGCTTGTTTTCGAGTTTTTGACTGAGTTCACCCACTAGTGACGAGCTTTGGGCCGTCTGGCAAGCTGGAGATGCCTCCCGGGTGCAGGGACTTGGAGCCGTCACCTGAGGCACCACTATCATAATCAACGGAGGGTGGGACGAGGCTGGGGTGTATCCCTTTTTAGCCACTGCACCCAAAGCAAACGGCTGGGATATTCCTATGGCTTAATGACTCATTCATTCATTCATTCATTCATTCATTTCATTCATTCAAGTGGTACTTCAATTGATGTCGTGGGAGGAGCACACAAGCAGAGAGGGCGAACCGAGAACTATACCGGGATGAAGAGATCTTCATACAGACGAATCCGGTTATGTCGGGAAAGCAGAAATACACTTTTTACCTTACTATTCTTATACTTGGCAATGCTTCAACATCTACGTAGAGGTAAACCTACGGCTACATCGAATGTCGGGCAGTACGATACGCCTCAAGAAGTTTGCTTTCCCTGATAAAGCCTTAGCTTATTCTGATAGAAGGGAACTTTTCATAGAAGGGAACCGCTTTCTTCTCTTATAGCTTTGCCAACACAATGGCTGCCACAAAATGGAAGAACCTAGCCGTAGACCTCTGTACATATTCAAGCATGCGTGTACTTCAAATATTAGAAAAAATAATATCGCTTCGATTCGATTTAATACATTGGAAACTTCGAAGTATTCGAAACGAAAGAATAATGCAACTCATCAGAATGGTAGTTTCACAGCACTGGAGAACTGTTCTACCCAGATTACATAAGTTCTGAAGAAATACGCACTTCCGCGAAGTCCCTCTTTAAGATTGAATGGAATACTTTTTGAAAAAGTCAATATCCACTGTAAAACTCTTATGAAACAACGCGCTGGAAGAGCAAAGGATGATTTTTTTTGTCCTAACTGGGGGATCGGCAAAATCCATGTGGTTGAAACTTTTACGTGACTGTCAAAGCTTTACTCGTCGTCACTGGATGGAATTCTCGCTTTAAACTCCGGTGTCGCCGAAGTGAATGCACCCTCACGTCACTATCGTATTATCGTGAGACTCATGATGCTCATGTGCGAGAGAATATCCATCTTCAAGTTTTAAAGCCGGTGTTAAAAGTTCAGTGTTAAATTTAAAAGCTGGCGACGAAGTATCATACTGAGCACTGAAGTAACGCTGTATCGGTCCTGCAGTTTAAATAAGCCTCGAAGGCTCTAGTCACTATACTGTATACGGGCTTCGCTCGTTTTAAGCAACTGTCGTATCTTTTCTCGGCGTAGTTAAATGGTCATGCTGCTGTAACAGCGTTTGTGAACACTGGTTTGAAATAAACAGTTGCTTAACTTTATGGCTGTATCCAATATATTTGCGTTACTATTCGAAAGCTATTAGAGTGGTATTGGACTCCCTTCAATTTCGTCCCAGATTCTGCTCTAGAGAGAGAGAGAGAGAAGAAATGTAGGAAAGTTAGGGAGGTTAACTAGACTATGCGCCCAGTTTGCTACCCTACAAATAGGGAGGGGGAGTAAAACAGAGAGAGAAGGATAGACACATGTCACATCACACACACACAATGCCGAGTTTCACAGGCGGTCCCTCAATGAAGTTGAGGGACCGTCTGTGAAACTCGGCATTCTGCTCTAAATTTCCCTCTTCAAATGCCCCTAGAAATTCCCTTGAGAAAAAAAGGTAAACTATTCAACATACTTCATATCAATAGCGATATATGTCGAAATGAATTGCGTTGCTTAACGGGTTAGTCTGTAATTACGAATAATTCAGACTGACACTTTTTATTGTACTGGCAGGAGGCCTCGCCGTCGCAGTTCCGGGAGAGCTTCGAGGGTACTACGAACTGCATCAGCGCCTGAAGGGCGTTCTGCCCTGGAAGGAGTTGTTCACGGACGCCATCCGGCTAGCAAGGCATGGTTACCCCATGGGTGCCCACCTGGCCAACGCTCTGCGAGAATCGCAGAATGCGGATCCTGTTTGAAAGAAAACATCAGGTAGGGGTCTAGACGCTGAAGTATAGTGCGGCGCCAAATTAGGTCTTCCCGCGAGGTCTTATCCCTCATTGTCTCAAATACGTTGTTCTCCGGCTGAAACTTCAAGACTGTTTCAAGACTGATGGGCTCCTTAATTCGTAGGGCTCGAGAGCAGTTGAACGTGTCTTGTATCTGAGAATGCAAGGGATTACGCAACGTAAAAACTGCGCGCCGGATAAAAGGTAAGCTTACATTTAAAGGACAGGGAGGTAAAAACACGTTTCCCTGATTTATACACCTTTTCACAGGAAGGAAACAAAAAACACCGCCATGATGGGCTGTGCGTATGAGTACAAAGGCTAAGGGTGCAGCGTTGTCAGTGCATTTTCGAGGGGACGCGCTAACTTGCACAGCCCAAGGAGGGCTATGGCGGCGCCCAGGGAGGCGTTTATGAAAAGGTGAATAGCAACATGGAAATAATGTGAAAAACAACAGTTTACATGAGGGAATGTACAAACAAAGACATGCGTTATTGAAAACAGCCCTCGTATTCATTAAAACCACATCATAGAGTTTTCTCTGTTTATAAGTATTCAGTGCACTCGCAGTGGTAATCATAAAGACCACTGCCAGAACAAATACAATTACCTGTTAATCATCGGTGGTACAACAACTGTTTGTGATAGATAGTATAACTGAATCTGGGGGAGCAGCAAACGAGAGCACAAAATAAAAAGAAAATGGCAATGCGCTCTCGACAAGAATAAGGTTACTAGTTCTCGATGAGAGACGTGAGCAGATCCAGTGGTGTGAGTTAACGTTTGAACGTATCAAGGTATGATGATGTACTTGTTTCGAAAACGAATGATCACTATAGGCCCAATAACGCGTGTGTAGGCATTTAATTTCATGACAGTCCGCAGTTCCCCTAGTCCAAACTGTGCTTTGTGAAGAGCTGGACTTAATTGCACTATAGCCTCTACGGGTTTGTACGGGTTACTGGGGTGCATTGATTGACTTTCTGCATAGAAGCAAGAGTGAGCTTAATTACATATGTAGCATTTATTCCACCAATATGAAGACACTTGTTGAACTGAATAAGCCAACATGTTACGTAGGCCCTGGGTACACAAGAGCGGCGTTGTCCGTGACCTAATTTCCACTAACAGAGAGTGAACATACTAACGCGTGACATGAGATGAACATTGTGTGCAAGATTAACTTGCTCGCATTGGGAGTTCAACCCGATATACAGGTTACGGTTACGATGCTATAATTGTGAGGCATTTTGTTCTATGACATCCCAGAGGTGGGACAACGCAGGAGATTTGGAACGCCAGTGGGTACGTAAATGACATCGATCACTCTTGCCTTGTGACGCTCGTATTCGGGCGACATTTAAAAGCCAACCACCGCGAAATTGATCCAGCGTCTTTCAGCCGAGCAACGCAGTGCCACAGCAAAGAAGCTCACGCTCCTGCTGGCTAAGACGTTTACATTGTTTCTGGTCTTAGGAAAACCTTCACAAATCCCGAGACAGGAGAACTGTTGGCCGAAGGGGAGCTCGTGACACTCAAGGATCTGGCTGACACGCTTGAGATGATAGCCGAAAATGGACCGGACTACTTTTACGAAGGAGAGTTCGCCGAGAGACTCGTCAGAGAAGTGCAGGAGAATGGCAAGTTCGCTTCTTTCGTATACACTTCGAATGTTTGTAAACACTCATGCTTCCAACTTGATCGGTTACCACGATTAATGAGTTTGTTAATTGCGGGTATTAAGACACATGAAACTAAATGATGAACGGTGTGCAGAACAGCGGTCGCACGCTCACTCGAAAGCAAATATCAGCGCTAGCGTACGGTATTCTAGTAATCATGCCTTGCGTGAAGAGCTGGATATAGCCAGAACACTACACCCTTTTCGTTTAGTTTCCCAGCTATAACTAGCACTTTAGCCAGAACCTAAATAAGAGATAAAAAAAGATGAAGGTTTACAAGAGCAAGGCTCTGGTTTGCTATCCTGTATTCGAGAAGAGAAGAAAGGGGTGCAAAAGGATGAAAGAGAAAGACTTTGGGACAGTAGCAAACAATGTAGTGACCAAAGCACCATACTAATACACACTGCAGCAACATTGACAGCAAACTGTCATAGTAACCTAACAGTCGGGAAATTGCTGTGCATGAAAACGTGGACCTTCACACAATATTTATTTAAATGTACCGTTGCTACAGTTTTTTACTCACCGTGGCAGCTTAGTGGCATACAGGTAGCGCTACTAAACGCGTGGAGAGTGGTTTGATCCCTTGTCATGACAGCCGCATATCGATGAGGGTGAGGTACGAAAGACATGTATGTGCTTATATTAGGTGTATCTTAATTAATCCAAGGGAATTCGCATTCATTCGTAGTTCCTCAACATGGAGTGTGCCTTGAGTCATAACCATATCGTGGTTTTGGTAGCATGAATATTCCGAATTCATTTTGAATACAATCAATTTGGGGCGCTTGGAACGGGTCCTGCTGTAACCGAAATGTCCGGCTTTTCTGGGCGCGACTGCTGCGCCAGCCTCCTTTCAACCACCGTCAATTTCGCCAGTTACCTTGGCACGCCCGCGTCGCAGGCATCAGGCCTGAACGTCCGCCGCACTCTTCGCGGGTACATATAGCTGGCGATGCAACCTTCTCTTGCTGAGTCCTCCCCTGCAGATAGTCTTAGCTGGCTCGGCTTCTTCATTCTTTTCGTCTAGTTGCACGTGCTTCGATCACTCTAGAACCTTCCGAAAACGCGCTCGTGCGGCTTCGTATGCTTTGAAGGCTTCGTCATCGTTGTCATTTTCTCGCCATATGACGTTTACATGGTGTAAGAAAAATAGTATATGTGTGGATACTTTGCGCCCACAGGGATGGAGACGCTGTTCATTGATTGATTGATTGATTGATTGATTGATTGATTGAAAACTCTATGGAACTATACACAATGGGCTCTTGCTTGTCGGCTTCAGCACCAAGGTATAAATAAATAAATACAATAATAAAAAAAGGCGGCTCCAAGATGCTGTCGAAGCTACTGAAAGTTGTAACATTAGCCAAAATAAACAAAAACCTTCGTTGAAATCCCGGGAAAAAATCCTCACAGCACAGTCAGCGCTAATGGCTCGTCAATAAGCATACTTACATCATAGAAAACTTATTTTTCGAGTTTCGAACAGTGCTTGCGGCCGTCGGCTGCTGAACCGATGGCCAGGGGTTTTTTTCCAGCCGTGGAGTCACATTCGAATGGCGGCAAAATGCTATAGAGTCCCGCATACCGTGCGATGTAAGGGCACGTTGAAGAACGCCAGATGGTCGAAGTATCCTGAGCCCAGCACTGCAGCGTTCCTCGTAACAATATCGTGGTTTTGGGACGTGGAACCCTAAATGCTGCCATAGAGTTTTTTTCCCCCGGCTCCTCACCTTTATTTGAATGACATCTGTTCGTCATACTTTCTTCAGGCGGCGTGCTGACGATGCAGGACCTGAGGAACTACAGGGTCAAGTGGGAGAAGCCCGTGACGGCGCGCTTCAAGGGCGGCATGACCATGTACTCGGCACCACCACCAGCGAGTGGCGCCGTCCTAGCGTACATCTTGGGCATAACGGACGCCTTCCGGCCATCGTCGGGTTCAGTCCTGGACGACACTGTGACCACTCTTCACAGGTATTAACATGCGAGACCACTCACTGCACGGCATGAATAATCCAGTGCGCAGAATGGTTAACTTGCATCCTGATGTAACGCATTGAACGTCACAAGTGAAATAGCTTGTCTTCGGATGATTCTTCAGCATCTGTCTGTAAAGACGTACGCAAGCTCTTGACATGAACATTTGAAGCGCACAGTGGCGTTGACTGTCTATAAAGATAGGGGTATAGGTGCTGCGGCTGTATAGGAAAGGAAACGGAGTGCGTTTCGTAATGACATGCATATAGGACGCCGACGAGAAGTGGTTTCAAATGCATTTTCGATAAGCCACATAAAAAGTGACATCAATCTGGGAAACGCCAGACAATCTCTTTCGTCGGAAATTAATCAGGTTGTAATCGTGAACCCGCTCCAATAGTGCCAATTTCGTGGTTTCTGGAAGAACCTGCACAGTTATAAACAATGCTTGATCCACCAGCGTTCATGCGATATCAGGGGGCTGAGACCGTGATTTGTTCCTACATGCAACTTTCTTCTTGATCACTTCGAGAGATTATAAATACGAGAGATTATAAATACATCATTTGTTTGATGAGCTGAATTAAATTTATAAAGCAGTCAAATCACATGCCTAATTAAACTACATGGTGAATTGCAATGTATGTGCAGAATAATTCACCCTTGAAAAAAGATTATTGTACCTTATACTACGCTTTTAACGGTATGCTTCAGAAGGTTGGCATGCTTTAGTGGAATTCAAGCCTTTGTCCATGCTATTTTGGCCGCAGGTTCGCTGAAGCTTGCAAGTTTGCTTATGCCAAGAGAGCTCTGCTAGGAGACCCCAACTTTGTGAATTGTTGGCAGGTGTGTACGACGTTGTTGCGTTGTTTGAAGCATCGCGCACGCATGCACAGGCATGCTACAAACATGCGAAGATGCACTTAGCCGCACAAACGCACATTCATGGCTAAATATAGCATTTTGTGCCCTCTTGCACCGCAGCTCGTCCGCAACATGAGTTCGCGGCACTTCGCTGCTAACGCGAGATACAAGATCGACGACGAGCGTACGTTCTCGGACCCCCACTACTACGGCTTCGTGGACGAGGTCTCAAAACCAGACAAAGGCACCGCGCACGCCACTTTCTGGGGTGCGGACGGGGACGTCCTCGCCGTCTCCAGCACTGTCAACTACTAGTGAGGCCCCAACTTTTCTTTCTCCTTCTGCCACCATGCAAGCTCAAAGAAAATAATCCGACAGTTCAGTGTTGCTGTATTCGCATCGGTGACTCACTGTAGTCCATGGTCTGTGTTCGTAGTTACAAACGGCGCAAGAATTCAATGCTTAACTGTAGCATACAATTAGCTTGTTAGCTGAATTGGAACAGTGAATGGTTACTCTCCCAACTCAAAATGAAAAAAGCGCCACCTTAGTAGCTTCCTCGTCGGGTGCGTTAAGTAGCTGTCACCTGGTTGTTTGATAAAAGAATTCACCTAGTGGTTAAGCGATCCACGTTACACCTAACGTGACGGCACATCCGAATGGGAGAGTGCTGAGTTAAATGGCCTGAACAACTGCTGAAAACTAATGAAGTAATCGGTTGCGCACGTTATCTCGCTTTGCCTCACCTCTAGAAGGAGTAGAGGTTTCAACAACCAAGACCAAACTGCTTTACGCAAGATGTATGACGTTAGGATGGGTACCATATTAATGCGGTCAAACAGATAACCATGCCAAGTAAAGTTTGAAAGACGTTAATAGAAGTGATTGTAATGTAAACGAGAAGAAAAATTGTAGAAGAAAAGATAACTTGCCGTGGGCAGGGACCGGACCTGCGACCTTCAAATGACGCATTCGAGGCTCGACCAACTGAGCTACCACGGCGGCTATCCCCGCTAACCACATATATACCCCATAATGTGGATTGATCGATAGAAAGAGAGATAAATCGACAATATATAGATTTCATATAAACACTACAGAAATGTGTTTGCTACCTAACAGGACCAGTATACGAAAAAGTCGCCCTTCAGAAAGTACTGCAGATTGAAATCTCCTTCACACAATCAAGGTTGTAGACCTCACAGTCACCAACCTTGACTTTGAATATGTGGGACCAGAAGTTGCACACCTATAGGTATAGGAAACTCCGAACTCGTCCTTTGCGTTTTTTCCTTTCACACAGCTTCGGCAGCATGTTGCGGACCTCGGCGGGAGTGGTGATGAACAACCAGATGGACTGACTTCTCGACGCCAGGCGTGAAAAACTTCTATGGCGTGGCGCCCTCTGTGGCTAATTTCATCGTCCCCGGGAAGCGGCCCATGTCCTCTATGGCACCAGTGGTGGTCGTCGACGAAAACGACGACGTGCAGCTTGCTCTGGGTGGCACAGGTGGTCGCGAAGATCACTTCAGGCGTGGCGCTCGTGAGTGCTGAATTCTCGATCGCAAATAAAAAAAAAAACGCGAAGAAAGCAAAGCAGCACCAACTGATGTCATCTATGCATACGCGGAAGAATCATTACAGTGGTAATTAATGCAGCCTACGTTGTCCGCCTCGGTGGATCAGTGGCTTGGGTGGTCATCTGCTCACCTGAAGGTCGGGGGGTTCGATCCCGGCTGCGGCGGTCGCATTTTGATGGAGGCGATATAGTAGAGGCCCCTATACCTTGCGATAGATGGATCGATGAAAGAACTTTATTAAGGGCCAATAGGTCGTGCAAGTGTCCTAGCCAGAAGTGGGCCGCTCCTACGTTGGGACTGAAAGACCTAGCCTTTCAGCCGCTTCGTGAGCCCATTGGACTGCCCATAATTATCCCTATAATGTAGTACTGCGCAAAGCTGCGTCCCAGCGTTCTTCAGTATTTTCCTTGTCGCTGCGTAACACGGAGCAACGCCAGATCGTATGAGCAAGATATAGGGTGTTGTGGCATTTATCGCATGTTGTAGGATGTCATTGCACGTAAAGAAACACCAAGTGGTCCAAATTACCGGAGCACACCACCACTACGATGTCTCTCATACTCATATGGTGGTGTGGGGACCTTAAACCACACATAATAAATGTTGCCTACTTTCACTCATATTACCCAGCGGTTACCATGATTTAAGCAACATATGGTATGACTTGCAGACAGATTTCACCAGTAAGCCAACACTACAGTAAAAAATGTATAAGGAGCACTTGTTAATTTATACAGCTTAAGATTCGTAAAATAAATTATAGTACTAGTAAACGTAATCAAAATCCATTTGTTTTCACACTCACCGAAGTTATGCACCTCGGAAGTGACCTCGTGTTTTCGAGCTTTCTCTCATTTATTTTTTCGCAATAATACTTTATCATATAAATCAACAAAATTAAAAAAAAGAAGCAGCCAAAACGTCTGTGTAGTTATCCTTTCTGGTTTTGATTCTTATTACCTTTTGTTGCTATTATTGATTTTGTTCTTCGGCAAATATGTACATATGTAGTAACCAATCTGTATACTTTTGGACCCACTCCTGTAAGAGCCTGTTAAGGCTTGCGTTAAAGCATACAGTATGAATAAATAAATAAAATAGAATAAAGTGTCCTTGAGAGCTGTCGTTTATGCTTGTGATTCACTGAGCGCTCGTTTGGGCCTTTTTGAAAACTAATAAGTTGCAATCTTTATGCTAGAAAGAGAGGGCATATTATTTGGATTATTATTTATGTTTTGTAGCACTCAAAAATACACTAAAAAGAAAACAGAATCTAAAAAAAATTGCCCGCAGCTTCCCTCGGGGGAACACTGAGGAGGATGCGGACCATATAATTGGTTAACGGCGTGTTAAATTGCGACTTACTTGGGTCGATGGCTAAATTGGTTAACGTGGTTGTAGGAGGGGGTGTTAAATGAGTGAACACGTACACACGTATGCGAAAGGGCGGCGCTGGTCGAAGGGACGTCGATCATTGTGTTTGTGGATTCGTTGGAATTCATTTCACCGCGACCTTGGACGTCGACGCGCCGTACAAACCAACCGACGAGCGGCAACTGAGCGAGCGAGCGCCGACCTTGAGTATATATACAGCACGACGGCGCATGCACTGTCAGCTGTTGAATGTTCTCGAAGCGCGACGCCACATGCGCGTCCACTGGAGAATCAGGAGAATTGTAGATGTCGAACGCGGTGTGTAGAGGAGGAAGGGTGCACAGATGGTGGAGGAGTGAAGCGCGCGCGGTGTGTAGAGGAGGAAGGGATGCACAGATGGTGGAAGAGTGGGCGACGGCGCATGCGCGCGCGTCAGCTGTCGAATGTTTGAGAAGCGGTGCGGACGGCGCGGACGGCACGGACGGCGCACTACAAGGCGCGAGTATAAGATGCTTCCGCATCTAAAAGTAAGCTCGCAGCCTCAATAGAGACTGGGAGCTTGATAGTGTTGTTTTTTCTATCGTAGATCTGTGTCAATCTTTTTTCTACTCTTTTGTACATGGACGTGTGCAAAGAAATTCATCACTTTTACCTCTACCCCGAGATTATTTCATAGATCTTTTTAGACCTAGAAGACTTCTTGAAGTCTTATTTGGTAATTCTTAAAAATTTAGCTGCCCCTATGAAGAGTTTTTTTTTTAGTTTCTGTTATCTTGATGTGGTATTGCTTTTGTCCCGTTATCTTCTAGGTTGTCATGCGGACACTGTGGCAAAGAAACAGTATCAAGGCGGCCATTGATTATCCAAGGCTCCACCATCAGTTGATACCAAATCATCTTATGGTCGAGTCATTCTTCCCCAAGGTACATATTTTTTTTATTCTTTGATGTTGATATAAGAATATACTGGTATGCAGATCAATACACCCAACATCGCAGAAATACTGAATACATCGACGTATGTGAAGAAATTGCTGGTATAATAATGCATACTAACTATCGCAACGCTAATTAGTTACCATAAACTGTATTTCCTTTGGATATGGACATTGTTAGCAGTATTTGGCTGCTTTTTGAGCAAACTTTAATATATATATATCTCAATGTTCAGTGTTAATGAGAAGATAAACACTTTTAGGGTGCCAGAAGTCTACAGAACTGAATATGCATTCTGCAGTGTGAAGTATAAGATGTGCGTTTTTGAAGTTAGACAGTCCATGATATAAAAGAAGGCTAGACGACTTTACGATACGGTACGTTCGACAAAGTGATGAAGCTATTAAGCAATTTTATTTGAGCGTGAGACGGACAAATATAGAAGATCTGAAAACAGAGAGATACATACACAGCGCTCATCCGTCTCTATTTCTGTCTCGTTATTTCAATCTGGTGTGCTTCGAGCTGAAAGAAAGCCGCTCAAAATCATGAACCAAATGACACCAGATTCTTGATACAGCTGTCCCATGTTTATTGCTGCTCTACAGCGCATGCTAATATGTCACACAATGAATGTTCTATTTCAATTGCAGGCTTACGTGAAAGAACTGCGAAGACTCGGTCACAAGGTCACGTACCCAAAAGGAAGATTTTCAATCATGATGGGCGTCAACAAACAGAACGGACGCCTGTACGCAAACTCAGACTTCAGGAAAGGCGGAACCGTGGACGGAATCTGAGCCACGTTTCACCGTTTCATCGTCGCCACTGAGGGTTGTGTGCGTCTTCTTGAACTGCGCGGCAGCAACCATTGGGCTGGCCAAGAAGTGTTGAGTGCTTTATCTGTCACTGAGTTCACAAACACTGCGCAGTGGCGAATGAGAGGCTGTGAAGTTACCGACTACAGACCTCAATCTGACGTGATGTGCTTGATGAAAAAAAAAAGCGAAAGTCAAGAGAAGTGATGGACGACGATGCAAGAGCGACATATGGTGGACGCTTTTTTGCCGATTAGTGGAGATGCTCATCTTTTCATTTTCTTTGACGCAAACAATAACAGAACGAACCGCACCGGCTTGCCTTGGGCAAACTCGCTAAACACGCGAATATGTGCGGACCGGGTAGTTCCATTCGTTTGTGCACGCTTTTAATTCTGTTTTATGTCTCGACGTAATTCGACTTGGATTTGATGATTGATTAATATGTAGGGTTTAAGTCCAAAAACTACCATATGATTATGAAAGACGCTGTAGTGGAGGGCTCGGAAAATTTCGACCACCTGGGGTTCTTTAAGTGCACCCAAATCTGAGCACACAGACCTCTAACATTTCCGCCTCCATCGGAAATGCAGCCGCCGCAGCCGGGATCGGATCCCGCGACCTGCGGGTCAGCAGCCGAGTACCTTAGCCGCTATAACAGCGCGGTGGGGTGACTTGGATTTGAGTCGTACAGATGAGACATTAAGCAGTCAACATTATTGCCTACATTTGGCGACTCCGCACAAGTTCTTGTGCGAGGTTTGTACTAAAAGAAATATGAAGAATGTTGCGCGATAGAGTGTCACATCGCTGTAAGAACGCCCAGGTGTGTAGGATTTTGAGGGACGCACGATCTTCCAGATATCCGTAAGCATAAATTGGTCCTGTTAGTCTGGGTATTGACTTATTGCAATCTTGCCTTTGGCCGTGTCCTCAGCGCTGCGTTGCAAGACCGAAATCAAGCATACACAGGTATGCAGATCGACGGCACACGTATCTCATCTTGTACTGCTGGCGAATCATACAAGCGGTATTTCAGTAGACGCTGCACCAAGCTTCAGGTCAATGCAGCCGTTATCACGTATTGTTGCTCAGAATCTTGTCCACCTCAGCCGATGAATATACTCCTTAGTGAGATAGTCTGACATAGCCTTGTGAACGACGCGACGTACACACGTGACGAGTATAGTTGATCTGAATGCAGTGATAAAAGGTGGCCTCTAAGCACGTGTTAGGTACACGTGCTGAAATGCAGCATTCACGCTCCTTTGCCGACTTGGTATCGAATTCAAAGTTAGACATTGAAAACAATTACGCGAGTGCAAGTTGGTTCATTCGAATTGATTATCGAAGAATATTCTCAAAGCCGATGCAGCCATGTATACCAATGTTGGGCTAAGAACGTTCATTCAGTTCATGGGATGCAAACACTGGGCTGCTTTTATCCATTTTCATCTTTTGCGAACTTGCACTTCAAATTATTCCCTTTGCAAGCACGTTAGAGAATCGGAGAGATGCACGCGAGTGTAATTTATGCAGCTCGCTTCGATGAATTCATCCACGTCTGACACTCAGGAATTTTATGTGTTATGTATTATGCAGTGGCGAACTGCATATGATCTTTTGTTTAACTTCATGTAATCTTTTTATGCTAATTTTATTTGAAATAAATTCATTTAGAGGCCTGGGTGACTACTGCAAGTAGTTATTGTTTGTAAGGCCGTGATAACAGCGACAAAATCTTGTACTCGCGGTAGAATTACCACGGCTGATTGATTGATTGATTGACATGTGGGCTTCAACGTTCCAAAACCACCATATGATTAGGAGAGACGCCACAGTGGAGGGCTCCGGGAATTTCGACCACCTCGCATTTTTTATAGCGCACCCAAATCTGAGCACATGGGCCTACAACATTTCCGCCTCCATCAGAAATGCAACTGCCGCAGCCGGGATTCGATCCCGTGATCTGCTGCTCAGCAGCCGAGTGCCTTAGCCACTAGACCACCGCGCGGCGGGGCAGAATTACCATGGCTGCTCTTTTTTGAAAGCAACGCTGCATGGCTACAGCTGTTATTGTATTGTACTGTATTGTTAAACACTCTGGTTAAATTAGTATGACGGGACAGCTTAATGCACTCCCATAGTTGAGTACCTTGGAATCTAAGTAATCGAAAACGTTTTCTAAACACATGTATAAATTTAAGTTTGCCACCTTCACGTACTGAACAGCGGCGTTTTGTGCAATAAGATTTACATACAAAGAACTTCGAAATTCTAAACAAACTGTGCAGTAAGTGTACGGTGCACTCTATGAACCTGTTGCGGCGGTCACGGACGTGTTTGGCGTATAGGTGTGTTTAGAAACACCGGGCAAGTGAAAGAAAAGAAAGTAACGGCACTTTACGTCATCTTTGAATTTAACCTGATACGAATACTACTTGAGGTAGCGAAGTGCCAATCCGCGATTGTTAACGTGAGCACAGACAGGCGCCTTATGCTCTCAGCTGTAGTAGGTGTGATGGCGGGGTTGTATGCGATGCTTGTCGATGGAACAATACCTATGCGTGGTCACGCGCACGCAAGCAAGACAAATGTCTAAATATGTTTACGCGAACCTATTCAGCTGCTTTCAGAGTGGCACGAAGATTAGGCACGACTTGATCGAGTGCCACGTACGAAGATATGCAAGTTGTGTACTTTGAAAGAGCAGCGAGGAACAAGTCAGGGTTGCCTAGACTTGACAACAGCAGCCTGAAGCTAGTACTCGCAAAACGAAAGAAGTGGTACAGAAAGTCTCAACAAAAGATGCTGGTTGCGTCCGACACTGAAATGCATAATATTCGTGCATTAAATTCGAGCATACGACATCTTTTAACATATCGTCGTTTTGTGCACATCAGTGCCGTAGTGCCCTTTTGGTAGTTGGAACGAAAGTTCGTGTTTTTCTGGTGAGACAATGCGACCGTCAAGGGTACGGTAACGCAGCGGTAAAACGATATCCGAAGAAGGTCTTTTACCTTATTCGTTTGCGTCTTGTATTCACGCATCTTGATATTTGCACACAACTATGCCAAAATTAAATGACGTTAACACCACTACTTAAGTCAGATAAATTTGTTTACTGTCTAGCTGATTTCTTAACATCAATATGAGCGAACGACAGCGCATAAAACAAAAACGAAGGCAGAAAGAACTACAAACGAGTGCCGACTTGTCATTCGTTCCCCCTTCGTCGTTGCTTTATGTGCTGTTGTTAACTTCAAACTATGCAACACACAATATCGTACCCTTTTAACGATATAGGATTGCCAGGTACGTAAAATTACCATTGCCTATGATATTTGTGGAGATGCAACACACTAACGCCTAGTTGGCAAAGGTCAGCCCCCGTTTACACCACCATCAGTGCGGTAGTCTGCGTTGGCCTGCAGCTGTCGGCCTTTAGTCCGTACCGCCATAACGGTGTTGAAATTTCCGTAGGCTGTTCGTATAATGTGGCCCTTTTCTTCAAGCTGACGTGCGCAGAACTAGAATGAAGAAAGAGTATGCATTTTTGTAATTTTCAGGTAAATGTATGTGATCAAACAATTGCCAGAAATTGAGAGGTCACTGGATAGGCGAAACCTCGACGTTGTTCTCTTGAGCTCGATAACGAAGTAAGCTAGTGAATTTTCTAAAACTATATATTGCCACGTTCGATTTCCCAAGTTTTTGTTATCGTCCGAAAACACCGCACGATTCTCAGCGCAAACCGCGCCTGCAGTTTTCTAGAAGGTTCCGGACTGTAGTAGATCATTTTGATAAGATCACGCCCACTGTGCGAACGGTACAGATTGTTCTGGAAGCTACGCCACCGCCAGCGATAACGCTAGAACATTCGACGGCAAGAGTATAAATGCTGACGCGCTTCGCCGCTTGTCAGTTGTTGATCGAAGGCCGACGCTCCGTTCGCCGCTATCAGTCCGAGACTGCTATCTGTGCGAGACTGCTGCTGTAATTGGACTTTCAGTTTACCGGGCACAGGTTCGCTCAAATAAACAGTTAAATCCTAACACGAAGTCTCCTGTCTTCGGCCACGTCACGACCCCGTGACATCTGGTGGAGGTGCTGCTTCGTTCATGTACTGGACGCCCCCGTCAAGCCGTGAACCCAGCCCACGTCGCGGAGAAGACACCGACACCAACCAGGAGCAGCGAACAAGCCGCTGACAGCAAGGGCTACCACCGGAGTACGGGCTTCTACCAGACAAGGCGCGGAAGACGAAGGCCATGACCGCGACTGCAGCGACAATGACAACCGCAGCGTCCCAGCCCACGATGGTCATGCATCAACCCAGAGAACCACCAATTTTCCATGGGTCATCGTTCGAAGACCCGGAGTCCTGGCTGGAGACATACGACCATGTGGCCGCCCTCAACCACTGGGACCATGACGAAAAGCTGCGTCGTGTGTTCTTCCATTTGGAAGACACCGCAAGGACTTGGCTTGAAAATCGGGAGTCCACGCTCCGAACGTGGGATGTTTTCTGCGGCGCATTCCTTCAAACGTTCGCGAGCGTCGCTCGCAAAGAGAGGGCCGCTGCTTTATTAGAGACTCGGGTTCAGCTACCAAATGAAAATGTCGCCATTTTCACAGAAGAAATGACCCGACTATTCCGTCACGCTGATCCAGACATGCCTGAGGAGAAAAAAGTTCGTTTCCTCATGCGAGGGGTCAAACAGGAGCTCTTCGCGAGACTGATGAGAAACCCACCGATAACCGTCCAAGAATTTGTAGCAGGAGCGACCACTATCGAAAAGACCCTGGACATGCGCACCAGACAGTATAATCGTCGCCTGACTACAGACTGCGCTGCTGCTCAAGCAAGTAACTCCGGAGACCTGCGTGAAACGATCCGAGCGATCGTGCGGGAAGAGCTGCGCAAGCTGTTGCCTTCGGGCCAGCCTCAAGTGGATTCAATTGCCGACATTGTGCGAGAACTTCGGCAATCGCTTCAAATT